TTTTATTAAAATGTGTTTCAGCAAATTTATTTTTCTGTACCATTCAGCTCAGTTTTAAAAGCTTGGCTTCCTCGGATTCGTTTTTCGGAAAAAGTCCTAACCAACACAAAGGGAAAGGAGAAATTTTTTGCTACTATGCAAATACCACGTTTGGTATCTCTAATTTACCTAATTAAATTCGTCTAATTAGGGAAAATAACATTGTGTTTTTTATTTTGTAAGAAGTTGATATATGCACATCGGTTTATCTAAAATTTAACTTTTTTAACTAATATTAACTAGTCATAATCTAATATTAAAAATTACCTTCTTTTTTTTTTTTACTTACTCCATGATTCTAATATTAAGAAATTAAGTAAGTGGAAATTATAATGTTATATCGTTAAAATTTAATTGTTTAACTCTAATGAGTCATCATTTATTTATTTTTTTGATACATATGATAATGAATTATATAAAAAATGATAACTCTAAATTTTTTTTTTTCAAATTTTTTGTCATTCAACTTAAAATTCAAATATGATATTTTTAACTTAAAATCTCATATCCTTAATTAATTGAGCCATTTCATTAGATTTTATACAAATAAATATATAATCTTTTAAGGGAAAAGGAAAAATTAAGATATTCTGACGTTAAAAATATTAGAATGTTTATTAATAGATATATGATGAATTTAATAGAATTAAAATTCACATTATACATTATATATTTAATAGTTGTTATTAGACGTTTCTGATACTTTTAATGCTAAACATCATGATTTTTCCTTTTCTCATCTTTTAATTTTAATAATTAAACATGAAATAATAAACCTAGATTATAAGAGGTCCATTTTACTATGTGGCCATATGAGTAACAGCTCTATCTTGCTCGAGCCCATTGGGTTTAGTAACTTTAATTTTTTGGTTAAACTTTTAATTTGGTCCTTCAACTATTATATAGACCTTTAATTTAGTTTTTAAACTAAAATGATTCTTAATTTGATTCCTTTTGTTTACCAATTTTGCATCAAATTAGTTTTTCTATTAAAAAATTAGTTTTTCTATTAAAAAGCAATTGATGTATTTACTACTTAACGACAACAAATCATTATTTAACGATTATGTTTCATATTGATAATAAGATATGTCAATTATTTTTGTATGAAAATACCAACTTGAGACCATATTGATAAACGATAGAAATTAAATCAGAAATTTTTTAGTTTAAGAACCAAATCAAAAATACACACAAATAAAAAATACACACAATAGTTGAGGACTAAATTGAAGGTTTAACTTCTTTTTTTTTGGATAAAATAACAACTTTAATTAATTAGAGTAAAATAAAATTCCTACTAGTACAACTGTACAAGCCCAACCCACTAGAATTACTGGAGTACTCGAACCGCAATCCATCTAAGGTTCCGCCGCAGGGCCAAGCAATGCGGGCGGCTCTAGCTCGCCGTCTCGGCTTCCGTCGCGGCAGCCACCAGAACACTCTTCATACCATCGACCAGCTCCCGCATCTGCTCCCTCGAGTGCAGCGGCGCCGGATAAACACACACGCAATCCAACCGTCCGTCGCGTATGGTATCAAAAACCCCGATTGACGGCCCTATGCCGTGAACGGAAGCGCAGCCCATATAATCCTCCAACCCCACCTCCCGCTGCTTGTTGTCAGAATTGTCAATCACGGTGTCCTCAAAGACGGTCATGAAGCAGGACCTCAGGGACGAGGAGGAGGTTAGGGCGGGGTTTTCCATGGCCTTGAGCATCAGGAAATTGAGGTCCGCCATGTCGGAGAAATGGCGGCCGCCGCTCTTGTGTTGCGCAAACGCCGCATACATTTTCTTGGCGAGATCCCAAAATTTTTCTCCGCCTTTGACGTCGTGGGAATTGAGAATGGCGGAATGATAAAATCCGAAATGATGATTGGAAAGTGAAGGTTCGAGAATTGAGCGGCAGTCGGTGAGCGTAACGACTCCGTACTTCTTCCGCTGATGGTGATCGGAACGGCATTTCAAGTTTTGTAGGGCAATCACTCCGGCCGCCGTCAATGCCCCGCAGAGCTTAATCTCTCTCAGCTTGCATCCCTGCAATTTTTTTTTTTCCCGCAATCAATAAATTCATTTCAAACATTTGTTTAGAGTAATTACTAAGTTAAGATACACAATTTAAATTATTTAAAAAAAATTCTTAAATATTGAAACTGTCTCTTCTTTTAGCATTCTTGTTTTGTAAGGAAGACTTTATAACCAATACATTGATGTATTTTTTATTATGGACTAGTTTTTTATGCTGTTTATTTACTAAATTTATTAAAATATTTTAAATAAAATTTTAATTTATGTTTATTTATTGATAATATTTTGATAATTTTAATACTTAAAATTGTAAAAAAAAAAATACAAACCCTACCGGAGAAACATATATATATATATATAAAACTATAAATTCTATTTATTAATTATTAAAAAATTACAATTTATATCATATCAACCTATAAAACACTGACCATTAACAAAAAGAATCACAACTCTCATCCAACAATGATGTTTTATAATTTGAATTATATATAAAAAAAAAAAAAACTACACAACCTGCTTTGAAAAGAAAAATAATTGAAAATTGATATTTTTGTATAATTTTTTTTATATAACAATAAGTATTATTTAATTCCTATTTTTTTTACTCTATTTAAATTTATAATATTGAATGTAATTTATTTAATAATAGATGAAAGTTGGGTAGAGGAGGTTCATGGTCCATATTATTACCGTTTTAGGAAAATTTGTATCAGTCCTACATATTCTTAAACTTTTGAGTATCAAAACGCATATGGTTTTAACTTTAAAAGGCAAAAACGGCTTATTAATTACTCACAGTAAGGATCGTCCGAGTGTCATCTGGGTCCATCAACAACCTCACCACCTGAGTAGATCTCGGCGATTTCGTATCATTAAACTTGAGATTCGTCAGCCTCAATGAGTTCACAGAGTAGCCAAGCATGTCCACTCCCCGCGCCCACAGCGTCTTCTTTGCTTTCCCACTAGGAATAAGATCCTCAATCGTCGGAGTAATCTCTCCTTTGCTCCCCACCGTCCCTCCTCCGCCCTCCTCTTCCCCCATCAACTCCAACAGCTCTCTCAGCAGCGACACTGCGGTCGTGCGGTCACATGCCGCAACGTGAAGCCGCAGCACCAACACCCATTTCCCCTCCGGTAGAGCATACGAGCTCGCAAATAATACGTCCTGATCATTAGTACTGGGACGTGAAATCCACGCGTTCTCATTGAGTTCGTGTTCGAGGATCAGATGGAATGGAGAAATGTTTTCATGGGTTTGGTTTCGAAGGTTAATTCCGAGGATGTTGTGTGTTGCTGGAAGGTTGTATGTTTTGATTTGGATGAAAGGAGAAATAGATGTAACAAAGGAGTACGTGTTCGATTTAGGATTGTGGTGGAGTCTAGACCTTAGGAAAGAATGAGAGTTTTGGAGGCTCTGGAGTGCAGCTCGGAGACGGGGAGTGTCGGGGTTTTTAGAGGTAAGGATGGCGAGGACGGTTATCCCTGTGCCACCGTGCACCGCCTGGCACCAGTTGCGCTCAGTGACACCGGCAACGCGGTGCTTTGAGAGTTGAGCAGACATGACAGCAACAATGTAAACAGGGGGGGAGTTTGATTTTTGTATGATATTTTGGAAGAGGGAGAGTAAGATATGTAACTGCAAGTAGGGTAGTAATAAAGAGTTCAAATCTGCTTTTTAGTTGCTCAGTTTTGGATCTTAATTGTCTACCATCATAAATGATATTTACTTCACCCACTTGAATGGTTTCATCTCTTTCAGCAACTTATCAACTAACCCCTACATTTCCATTAGAAAAATAAAATACGTAGATATATGTTTGTTTAAGATGTCAATTAAGAGTGAGGTTAAGAGTATAATAAATGTATATTTTTATAATTAATTTGTATAAAAAATTAAAAAATTGATTTTTATTTTAACATATTGTTATGTGGATTATTTTGATTAGTTAATTAATTAAATTAAAATTAAAATTTATATTTTTTATGTAAATTAATTATAAAAGTATAATAAATACACTCTTAATTAACTTGTGATAGAAATGCCCTATATAAATCTAAATTGGATTTGTTTAGGGCACAAGTTTAGAAAACATTAATTTCATCTTTTTGAATTTAATATATGTATATAAAAAAATAAAAATTAATTTTAAATTTATCAATTACCTAATTAGAATCATCTAAGCGGTATTGATGTTAAAAATAATGTTTTATTTTTATTTTTTTTATTATAAAAACTTATTACAAAATAATGTAATTAATGCATTTAAGATACAAATTAAAAAAACCCATATAAATTTAAGTAAATTAGAGATCTAATAGTAATTTGCTCTTTGTAGAAGTGGAGAAGTCTTGTGATTGAGTTGCATAATATGTAGGTAATATGAATTAGAGAATAATAAATAATTACCTTTCATTATGTCAATTTATAAAACCCATGCTTGGATCATATGTGAGTGGGTGTGGTTACGGTGATGCACTGTATTAATAGGGCCACAGGAACTTTGATATATATATTTGTAAATATTTATATAGTTATCGTGTTTGAAAATATTAATACATAGATTAATTTTAATATGTAAAATAATACAAATATTAATTATTTTTTCATTTATTAACTAACATTTATAATTATTAATTATTTTTAATCATTAAACTAAATAGAGACAATATTTTAAAATATAATATTTAAAAGTTTATATAATCATAACATTTTGATGTGTGGCCATATATATAACCTTGCCCCATGTGTAGTTAATTAATTAGTTCACGTGTTTAGGTTGGAAATTTTCTTCTATCGATGAAATCCAAGTACATGGGAGTGGATGCAATGTTCCTCCGAAATGGGAGAGCTGTGACCTGTGAGCTCAATTTTTCTTGGCCAAGGGCGTTCGCTCTGCCTAGCTAATTAATTAGTGCACTCGAAAATCTACCAATTTTTTTATGGGTTATCTGGATAAAAAATATTGATTATATAATAAATGTCATTTTTTATCTTAAAAAATAAAATTAATTTTTTATTATAATTATAAACATTATGTGTTAAATTTTTATTAGTTAATTTTAATTTAAAAATTAAAAATTATTTTTTAATATAAAATTTTACATTTTTTCAAAAAAAATTATAATTATAATCTAATACTAACTTTTTATCCTAAACCTTAAAGGTATATGATAAATAATTTTTTTTTTTTTATCTTCTTGTTTTCATTAAATGACAAACAAAGGCTGCATGCAAGAACATGCTGAATCTCAGAGGCCTTATTTAAGAGCAGGATTGGTGCACGGGATAGGCTTGGGTCCTCTGAACTTCCATCCTAAAACAGTACACAATTACTCTTTCGGCCTAATAAATTTTACAATTGATAATTAATGTGAAGTTGAAGTTGTGTTGGGACATTTTAATTAATGGTTAGTGGTTGTCCGCTTTAGTTTCAAAAAATTAAGAGGAAAAAAAATAAAAATCACCTTAATGCATGCTTTAAAAATAAGGTAATTTAGTTTTTTTTTAATAAAAATTTATTGAAACGACGTAGTTTTATGATGTTTTTTTTTTAATTTTTAAGAGATAATGCTGACATGCACTTTTTTCTTTTAATTAATATAGATATATATATATATTGCAGATTATTGTAGCCTTTCCGGTTTTGATTCACATTTCCTCATCTCTTTATTACTGAATTATTTTTGCTTAATAATTTTTTATCAAATATATATTGATATATATATATATAAGAGTAAAGATTTATTTATATATAAATTTTATACATTATATTTATACAAAATTTTACTAATCTATCATCTACTTTCAATAGTTTGAGATTTATTTATATTGATAAAAAATAATTATTTTTTAACTAAAAATTATAATAAATCTCAATTATTAAAAATAAAAATATAAAAAATTAAGATTTTATATAAATATAATATATAAAATTTATGTGTAAATAAATACATTCCCTATATACATATTCTAACTATATGACTATCGAAATAAAAATAGGCAAATGAAGGAATATATTTTTCTTTTTAGCATAGGAATTTTTTGAGTAAAGAAAAATTTTATAAGTGTTTGTAAATCTTACGTGGTATTTCAATCATATAATTACTTTAATAAAAAAATTTAGCAAATGGAGGGATTTATGGAATTTGCGCTTTATACATAAACACTTTTAATTCATAATTTATATAATATTATAATTATATTATTAAAACAGTCACATTAATAACAAATAAGTTATTTGTGTTAGTGAAAAAAACTTGAATCTTTTTCGATGATATCTCAAATTTAAATTTTATAAATGAAAAAATAAGTATTAAAAGATTTTTTTTTAATTATAAAATATGATGTGATTTAATTTAAGATTAATTATAATTTAATGTGATTTTTAAATACAAAAATTTTATTTGTTGATTTTATTTGTTTTCTGTTTTTTTGTTTTTTTCAAGCGCGTGATGGACCAGGTAGCTGGCATAAAAATTGAAATGGAAGCACATGCTGCGTAGTAATTTCAGTTTTCTACATTGTGTCTGTATTTAATGCTTTGAACTGTGTCTTTGTCCCTCTTTTTTTTATATATATTTTGTACAGAAAGGTAATAATAACTGAATATGTTGTTGGTAATTTTTTTAATTTAAACAGAAAATAAGCACTGAATATGTTGGTGAAGTTGTAAATGATGAATAATTTGAGAGTGTTTGAACTAAAAAAAATAAAACAATTAAAATAAATTTTAAATTTATTGATTAAATTGTTAATCTTGTAGAAGTCTTGTCTTTAAAATATAAGAAGATTG